AACAGCAAACCAGGTACGTAGGTCATTGCGCTAGAAGGTGAGGAATGATGTTCCGAAGCGTTGTACGTGCAGTGCAGTGCGCGGCGGATTGGGCGTAAAAATGTGTGTGCAAGGCGTTGCAAGGCTCATATCTACAGTGCGGTTCGGTTTTTCGTGTGAGGCATTTATATGGGATGGAACGAGATGCTGGAACGAGATGCTGGAACGAGATGCTCGTCGTCCTCTAGTTGCACGTCTTGTTCCCCGGCTCAGGCACGGCGGTTGCCGCGTGCATTGGTGAGGGCGGCGGATACGGGACTGTGTGCGTCGCTCCCATACCTTGTTACTAACATTAGCTGCGTGTGTGTGTGCGTGGGGATGGGTGCTTTTGTCGTGTCGTGCCGTCACACTTTGCAGAGGGGCCAACCCGGCACCCGAGGGGCCAATGTGGCCGAGGGGCCAATGTGGCCGAGGGGCCAATCGCCATGCGCTGGTTGAAAGTTTCAAGTTGAAACTAACTATTCCTTTTTATATTATGGGAGATATATTATGGGAGATTTTGCGTCTAGGGGGGCGATCAGGTGCATTTTGGTGGCAACAGACGGGTGAAATTGACTTTTTCTGTTGTGAACAGGGTCCGAATCATGAATTGTTGTTGCAAGTGCGGGGCGATAGGTACAGTAGGGGATTCGATAATATTATTATATTGAGATAATGTTGCTGTTATATTGAGATAATAATGTTGCTATTATTATTATTATTATATTGAGATAATGTTGCTGTTATATTGAGATAATAATGTTGCTATTATTATTATTATTATTATATTATCGAATCCCCTACAGTAATCGCTGGCCACGTGTCCTTATCTTTGGACACGAGAACACGTGGCGCCGTCACCCTCGCCCTTGCTCCGCAGGGCAGTGGCAACGTCCCCCCCACCGGTAAAGAGTCATTAAGACTCTCTTACCTGGTGGCAACGGACGCGCGAAGACCCCTACAACTGTTAGTCTCGGATTTCCCATATTGTGGCAACGTCCCCCCCACCGGGTACGACCCCCCACCGGGTACGACCCCCCCCCCACGCCGGAGTCAGGGGGTCGACCGAATCTTTTCGGTCGTCGTTGCCCCCG